ACACAGAAAAAACAGTTTTGAGATCCTGTGTCTGCCAGTCCTGTTCTTCGAAGGTACTCACATTGCTCTCCGTATTCAGGACGCACAGTAAGGGGGCTAGAAATATCCCTCTCCTTGGCTCTGGAAGGCTGCTTGCTGTCAGTCCATGTGACCCAGCCTGTGTTGTCACAGGAATGTTTTTTCTCAGTTTCACAGAATTGCGAACTGAGATGTATTGGTCATACAAGTATAATAAAGTCTTTTTATAAGCTACAAACAAAACAAAAACTTGTTTTTAGAAACTGTTCTTCACTCATTTTAATGAGTGATTCTGACTACTGCTAACATAAACATGTATTTCAATTCAAGGTAATCTTGAAATTTAATCCTGATTTAACGATTTTACGAAGAAAGTGCTTTTGTAAATAGTTTTAAAAATGTGCACAAGTTTGATGAGTTTTTAGTAGGTTGCCTAGATAACATGATGTAAGTTACATTACTTAAAACACATTTAAGCTCAGCAGAGTTAAACAAATCAATAGTGGCAAATCTGAGTTTCCCAAATACTGTTATCATCCAAAACTCTGTCTTATAATATTTAAGACTTTCTCCTCTACTATCTTTTGCTGAGAAACAAACCATTGGAAAGCAAGTTTTCAGTCCATGAATCTGAGTATAGGCTGGGTCTAGCTAGTTAGCTCTTCTGGTCTTAGGTGGGACTCTAACTGGATCTAACTTTCCAGCCTTCACTCCTAGATTCCAGCAAACCTCTGGGTGCTTTGGAGCAACTGTGATCGTCAGGCTGTGGTCCACAGGATCTCTCTTCCTCCAGCTCTAACATGTGAGCTGGGCCAGGGAGAATCCCAGAGAAAGACAGTAGTGCTGGATCATTTGACAACAAATCTCAGGGCTGCCACACTGTTAGCCCTTTAGCATCCTTCTGCTCCAACAAAGGGCCAAGATCAGTTCAATGGACTCTTTCTTGATGAGGGGAGAACCAAAATCTCACTAAAAATAGTGGACATGGGGAAAAAAGATTTTTTTATCTACAAAATTATGTCTGAGATCTTTAAATGTAACTTCTGACTTAAAGCTTGAGGCTAGTTTAATGCACATTTGGTTCTTCTTCACTGCCATTTTTGATCCTCAGAGCCTGTTGGCTTTACTGATGTACAAGTCTACATTCTGAACCATATCCCAGGACCTGGACAGCAAAAGCTGCCCAGCAGTTACCATCTTTCTCCATCCTAGAATACCAACCTTTGCACGTAGGAGCTTTCCAATCAGCTGTCAGGTTATCAATATCATTTCATGATGTCAGATATCAATCAACATTGCAGATGCTTTTTGATCTCTAAGATATGAAACTTTCAGTGTAAATAACATATGCTAGAAGTGCATGTTTGAAAGACAGACACCCAAAACACACATTTTTTCTGGAGTAATCTTTAGACTAACCACAGTCACATATAAATGTACTTAGCTTAAATCATAAATTATGAACATGTTATGAGAATAAATATATACCACCCTGAGTCAGCAGCACTCAGGAAATATTCACACGATGGTTGACCAAGCAAAATTTCAAAAAACTTAGTGTCTATCTACACAGTACTCAGCAAAGTAGTTAGGCATCTGTCTGAATTGCTTTACTGGCTTTTACATTTGACAAGTTCTACAGTTTCCTCATATATTTAAAGTAAGAGACCATCTTGGACCATTTGGAGTTATTTCCAGCAGTCCTGGCTGAAAACTGATAGCAGACTTTGTTAGAAAGCTCTACAGCAGTGATGGAGAACCTTTTAGAGCCTTCAACGATGCAAACAGCTCACTGTGGCAGGGTGCCATCGGTTTGCCATCACTGCTCTGTTACTTTCTATAATGTAATGCTTGTCATCACTCACTGTTTTGGTCATATTAGGTACTATTTTTCCTCCTTCAAGTCCTGCTTCCTTCCTTTTAATGCTGTATAAACTTGCATTATCATCTCTGAAACCTTCTCTTTGCAACTGTTTTTGTCAAAAAGTAAAATATTATTTATATATACATATAAATATATAAATTTATGCATATATATATATATACATATATGATTATGTGACATTTACTATTTGTAAGTCCTTAATGAAGACTACCAGTTTCATAAGATTCAATGTACAATGCACATGTTTAGAAACACACATACAATTTCACCGTTAGATGTAGTAAGAGCAGTCGGCTCCAGTATTTATGATGTTCAGGACATCCAGCTAGCAGTACCAACCATGAAAATTCAGGTGGTTTCGATATCCCCTAGACAAACATACACCAAGAGCACGTGCTGAGCGGGTGACTTGGCCCTTTACTGGAAGAGAAGCTTTGCAAGGTGACTATATACGCAGCTTCCAAATAGTTTTAGGATTTTGCAGTGGAACCTCTTTTATGAAAGGAATCTGTGATGCTCGCTAACCTATGAATTGCAGGCAAGTGGACTGATTTTGATACAAGCTGAAAGTTGAATCACCTGAGTAATTCACAACATTTTTCTATAGTTTGAGAAGTATAATAGTCTAAGAGTTGGGAGCCAAGCAGATTCACTCGGACATCTGACTATCAAATTATGTTGACCTATTACTGTTTCCTCTTGTTTTAATCTTGAAATAAAAATATTCATACAGTTTCAACTAATTAGTGTTAATTAATGTATTCTAAAATTTAAGTCTAGAGAAAATTGGCTTGAGAAACAGGTATCGTGAGCAAAAATGGAATGGGGACAATACTGTAGGCAAGGTGACAAATTTAAAGAGGAGTTACAGTTGAGTTAATTAGAAATATTATTGGCAGTCAGACAGGGCTAGGTCCTCAAAGGAGCCAGTGCAGAAGCCCAGATACCTTGTAACTGGGGCAGACAGACACCTCCCACTGTACAGCAGACCTCAAAACAAAAGGTCTAACAAATACACATACATTCTAAGGACTGATAGTCTAAATAGGTCGCTATCACCCTGAAGAAGCCAGGAGTCACTATTCCCATCCTCTGAGGGAAGAGTCACTGCTCTTTAAGCATGCCCACTTGCTACATGACTGACTTTCTCATTTGTTCCCAATATAATCAATTTTACGTGAACAATTTATCTTATTGTTTGACCATAGTTCTGTCCCACCTTATGCTCACCTTGTGAGTTCTCATATTTTCCCCACATGGACCCATCTCACCTCATGGTTTTACTCTGTAAAAGACCCTAAAAATCTTTAATATTCACTCAGGACCTCTTCTGTCTCTCTATCAGGCATATGCTTTCTTTGTCTCAATAAATATATTCTGTTCTTAACCTCCCTTGTTACTAAAATTCATTACTTGATTTTAGAGAACATGAGATTGTAATGGACATCTAGTAGGTTGGGGATTTCATTCCCCTATATCAATAGCACATTTATCTCATTTTCTAATTATTTGAAGCATGTTGTTTTGTTTTCTGATTGATGTTATAAACACCTTCATGTACAGTGTCTCTATCTATATTATAACTTTTTCTATCAGTTTGGTCGATACAACATTTTACAGATTGAAGACTACCCAAGCATCAGACACAGGGAGGGAACTGAAGTGACCCTAGGGAGGTAAGCTTGTGATTGGAAGAGATAATCTAAGAATTACCAGCACAGAACAAACAAGGGTGAAGCAGTTTTCCATATACGATTATCACCACATCTACTAAAGTGTAGTGTCTTCCTTGGTACCATAGTGCATTTAAATTCTATCACTGTTCTTCATAAATATGATAGTAGTTAATAAAGGAACTTACAAAATTAATCTAAGCCAAAGAACCAAACATCACTTAGAAAATTATATGCAAGACTTTGATTAGTAGCTATGTAGTAGAGGCCATATTAGTCATTTGGTGAGGGAAGTATCAAATTTCTGTTTACAAAGAAATCCTACTTTAATCAAAAGGTGGGCAAAATGCAAGCTTGGCTTGAGAGAGGACTGTGCTGGAAAATGTTCACACAGGAATATGGATCTGTTACATTACAGTAAGAAAAAGCAGCAGCAGCAGCAGCAATCTGGGATTTGGTGTTGGAGGACCACATTCAGAGTCTCTGAAGAGTCCAAAAAACATTCTGTTTGACAGTGAGATTTTTGGAGCAAGGTTTTTGGTTTTTTTTTAAAGCTGTCCACCTAGCTGATTAATTTGTGGCTGAAGTTTTCTTTCAAGATGGAAATCTCAAAATTCAAGCTTACAATGCCTGTTATATAGTCAGCTCTTAACCTCAGACAGATCCATCCACAAAGTTACCTCACTTTATTTTTAAGGAATTTTGTGATGCAAACAACAAGATTCACGTTTTCCAGAAGAGGAAAACAAGGTTTAGCGGTTATAACCAACCTGATCACGTTATTAAAATTAGCAAATTGTAGAACCAGAATTCAACTCTTTGACCAGTGGATGGATACTAAAATCTATGGTCATGTTAAACATTACTGCCTTGTCCAAAGGATGAGGAATAAAGGAGTGATCTTCTAACTAGAAAATTACTGCATAATTTTACATTGAAAATTAAATGTTTTTAAAACTCTGTTTTATAGGTACAGCCTTGCAGTTCAATAGAAGAAATAAGTTCTGGTATTCTATGGCTCAACAAGGTAATTACAGTTAGAAAAGTAACAAACATATACTTCAAAATAAATACAAAGAGGATTTAAAGAACTTATTACATAGAAATAGTATATGCTTAAGGTGATATATGTTATTATTTTGATTTAACCATTATGACATATATCTGAATTGAAACACCATATTCTACCCAATTAATATTTACAAATATGTATCAATACAAACTCAAAATTAAAAAAGAAAATCTTTAAGCTTGCTAAAATAATAATTTGAATAAAAATGAATGTAATATCTATAAATAACATTTTAGCTTTGAGTCCTGTTTTTGTATATTTTCCAGCATGAAACCAACCATGTACATGAATAGCTAAAAGTTTCAAAATTTATGGTCTAAAAGGAATTTATTGATAGTTTAACTTGCATTACCTTAGACAGTTTTGTCTTGGACTCAGGTTTGTCTTTGGTAACAAAGTCGTTAATGAGACGAGACCGGTCATAATTAGCATGTTCTGATTCATCCATGTAATCCTTATCTTTGCCTAGGGCTAGAAAAGAGAAAAAAGTTACCTCCACTTTTACATTTCTTCCTTTTCCACTGAACACATAGATCTCTCATCTGCATGCTCTTTCTAAGTTTACCTAAGTATAATCCCCCCACAAGGCAAACCCCATGAAAGCTTTGTCTGTCATTGTATTACTGCTGGCGAGAATGGCCACTTTCCTAAGGCGTACTGAAGAGGTGCTATTTAATGTAATAATGCTTCCTAAACACAAAACCAGAACCACACAAATTGTACTGGACAGAGCATCTATTAAACAAAAAGATATTCATAAGACCTGGAGAGTCTTAAGCATTTAATAGCTATGCTAATTTTCAGATTATTGTCTTTAAAGCTGGGAAGTTTTTAAAAATGTGAATTGGTTGAAGGGTGTAAGAAAACCAGAGGGGGCAGGAAGGACAATACGCAGAAGACACTTCAAGAGAGATAAAAATTGGGAGATTAAAATACAACTGCCACAGAAGGCAAGAATACATTGCAGAACGGTAGCTATCATTAGAAAATATACAAGACACCATGATAACAATTAAATATAAAAATGCCTAGAAATAACCAGTAAGCTAGAATCAGGGAGAAACTGTATCAAATAGGAAATCCCTGTGGTGGCTGTAGCTGGCCAGAACTATTAATATGTTTCAAAAACTTTATATTCTGTGTGAGACAACTGTCTCCTCAAATTCAAAAATGGACAGATGGCTATAGACTTAGCCTCTTCAAAGAAATCAAAGTGTCCTGATGAGAGTTATGTTACTGAATCTGTTGATATCTATCAGGCATGACTCTTGGGGTAGATGACTCTCTGCAGTGTTTCCAAGAATTTGATCAATTGACTTACCCCAAGGAAAAAAGACAACTTTGTTTCTAATAAGTATACATTAATTTTTATTAGTAATGGTTAGACTCTGTTATAGCATGATAATTATGTCAGAGCAGCAGAGAGCATTATATTAGTAACAGCTAAACTAAGATTCTGTACGAACCATTTTATATCTTTGGATGTAACCAGTAATCAGGTATGATAAAATGTTCTAAGTATTTAGTGGTCATAACTAGATTATTGATACCTAACACTGATTGCAAATTGGCATATGGTGAGTTCATTCCAGAAACACTGCATGCATCAGCTTCTTGTCTTGTCATGCTGAGAACAACTCCATGAAGAGTATCAAATTTTATATACATTTTAATAATAAGTAAACTAAAGTACTGGAAACTAAGTAACACATCACAGTCAATACACTCTTAAAAAATACACCCAAAGCTGCAACACATCTGACCCAAGCTGATGTGGGTGAATTCGATACAATGCTTCCCTGGTTTAGGTAAAGTACATTTCATTCATTCAACCGCTGTTTGTTAGACACTTCTGATACACAAGACTCTGGTAACTGTTGAAGACACAGTAAAAAAACATAACCATGCCTTCACCGACATTCCAGTAACAGACAAGGAGTATTTTTTGAAAAGCAGGCATAAAGAATCTGTCACGGTCAATCTGTGGGAGGGACACACAGCAGGTGAGAGAGTCGCCCAGGAAGCCATCTGCAGAGAATAGTCACAGCATGTGGGTGAAACTCTCAAGAGGTTAGGTGGCAGGTCACACAGGTAAACTGGGGGAGGGAGGTCAGCATGGAGAACATACAAGTACAAAACCTAGATGTACCTCCTGCCACCAGGTACACTGGAAATACACTGTGATTCTGGAGTTGACTTACTGGAAGCACAGCCAGGGCTACACTTGCTTCGAGTCAGTAGATTTGAGGCACGGATACTGGGGTGCTTAGTGTTTCCATTTTAATTCACTTCCATTCCCCTCTCTCTCTACTCGCACCCCATCCTTTCCTCTCTCTTGACCAAGAAACTCTGAGTTGCTGAAATTTAAATCCATTTAGTCATTCAGCAAACACTGATTGAGTGGCAACTAGGTTTAGTGATAAAACAGTGAACAAAAGATGAGGACAAAAGGGAAGAGAAAGATCCCTCCGTCACTGTTCCTGCTCTTAATGAGGGCAACAAATAGTGAGTCAGTTAAAGAAGATAAAGCAGTAAAACCAGACTCCACATGTCAGGTAGCGATGTGAGCACAAGTGTCAGGTGAAGTAGAAAAGCCATGCTTCCTGCTAAATTATCAGCATTTACTCCAGGACCACATATAGGGGATGTGGGAAGCGGGAAGCCAAGGCTGTCCCGAGGTTTGGCCTGCCTGGCCAGAAACATGGACCCGCTGTTTATTGATCTAACGACACTTTCTGTGTTTTGTTTCCCATAGTTTTAGAGGAACATTCTTTTATTTTAAATTTTACTTAAAGAAAGACAAAACAGAAAATAGGTAGAAATAATACATACTTTCAAAGAAAAAATAAAGAGTAAGAAATCACTAGCTGATGGTTACAAACTGTCCTCTTACAAATAGTTGTTCAAGATACTAAAATGAAACATACAAAGTGGGGATTCAAACAGGGAGACTGCAAACAGTTCTGTTCAACTATGGAACAAAAACTTAGTAATATGGTTATCAACCCTATACTCTTAAACATACATGCAGTATCCATATCTTCATTTATGTTGAGATTAAACAAACCAAAACAGGCTAAAATCACTCTGAACAAAGAATAATAGTGTTGAAGGATTTTATATCATGAAATCACAGGATCAGCACTGGGTACTGTAGTGTCTCTTTTTCTTCAAAGTATCTATTCATTTCATCATGCATTTATAAGACCAATTCTCATAAACTGTTTATAGGTTCTATGCATGCATGAGTCTTAATATGTATTTCTATCCTTTCTACATTAGAGGGAGAAACAAAACAAAGCAAGACAAAACAAAACATATTCTTATAAACACATGAAACGAAAAAGACACATAAAACCACTGTATAAGGAGTTCTACCATGGTTACTGTGTTGTCTCTTGTTATCTTCAATAGAATTGTCTATATCATCAGATACAGTACAATTGAATATATCAGTACATAACAGTATTAATAAAAACACAACTTTGTAGATAATGTAAAAGTTCAAAAACAGATAGTAATCAAACCAGAATGGGTATTGTAGTGAATCTTGTCATCTTCAGTGTAGTTGCCCATACTTCGACTTGATACTATCAATCATAACAGTTTTGAATAAAATCTGTCAATACCAAAGAGCAATCAAACAAACCAGATTTAACTAAGATCAGTCATGATAAAACAGTATAAGTTATGCAGGGCTAGGGGCTGGGGATTTAGCTCAGCGGCATAAGTGCCTGCCTTGCAAGCAGGCAGTTGTGAGCTCGATCCCTGGTACCAATAAAAATGAAAAAGACAAAAAAAAAAAAAAAGTTATGCAGGGTTTCAGATTAAGTTAATAGGAAATTAAAGATGATTACTGTACTATCCTGTTATTTTTGGGATAGCTGTCTGTGCCCTCAGATATAGAGCAAGTAGACAAACTGGGACAGAATAAAATCTATCTAAGCAAGGCAGCGCGAGTAATATGGGTTTTAAATCATGATCCACTATTAACAATATCTTCTGCCATCTTTTTAAAGACTATTTCTCCCCTTTCACTCCCCCAGGGTGCACTGTGCATTTCTGAGTCTCACCAATACCCTCAGTTTTTAGATTTGGTGGGGGGGGGGAAACCTGCTATTTAGCTAAAGAAGGTTCCAAACCTTCTCCCTCCTGGACTTCATCTCTAGCTGTATTCCTTTATCTATTAAAGCCTGTCTTTCCAACCTCTCCACAAATACTGGTCTAGTTGCCCCTATTACTCTCTGGTTCCCTGTCACATAGAGATTTGTTTTCTTATATTTGATTTTTGGTTCATAAACCCTTTTTCAGGTTAATTATATTTCCTAAAAGGTGGACCCTACCTCCTTATCTACTCTGCCTGTGTTTCTCTCTTTTTTTTTTTTTTTTACTGTATCAAGGCCAACCTAGAAATTATAGCCAACCTTCTCTGCCTCATTTCTGTTGTGTTCTTTTTCTGCTCTTAGTTGTTTGCTTTTCTTCTTCATTCCACTTTCTGCTCCATTCATTGAGACCTCTGTGCCACTGTTACTGGAATTCTGGCACTTTTCTCTCTCTAGAAGGACCTGAAGTATTCTCTGTAGAGGCAGATTGGTGGTCATAAATTCCCCCAGGTCCTCTTTGTTTTGGAAACATCTTGTTTCTCCACTAATTTCTAGAGACACTTTTGCAGGGTACATCAATCTGGGCTAGAGGTTATTTTCCTTCAAGCTTTGGGATACTTTGCACCAAGCTCTTCTTGATTTGATGGTCTGTGTTAAGAAGACTGCTTATGGATTTTCCTTTATAGGTAATCTGTTTCTCTTCTCTGATGGATTTTAATATTTTGTTCTACATTGAATTTCTGGGATCTTGATTATTACATGCCTGAATGTAGCTGTGTTTTGGTTGTAGGGGCTGGAGTTCTATATGCTTCACGCATCTGAATATCATTCCCTTTTCCTATGCTTGGGAAATTTTCCTTAATCATTTCTGTGAATAGCCTTTGTAATTTCTTTGTTTGTACCCCTGCTTCTTTATTCACATTCTTTATTCTTAAGTTATAAATCCTCTTGTTGTCTTATAGCCTTTGTATTGTTACTGCCTGTTTCCTTTTTATTTTTAAGAAATTTTTCCTTTCATGATCCCACATTTCAAACCTGTCTTTCGGTTTGGATAATCCATCCTTAGTTTCTTTCAAGCAGTTTTGCCAGCTTTCAACAGAGTTTTTTATTTCCTGGTAATCTCTTTGAACCTGCTTCATGTATTGTAGGTTTTCTTTATATTCTTCATCAAATGTTTCTCTCCTTTTGTTGTACTCCTCCATTCTTCCATCTGTATCTTCTTGAGAGGTGCTTAACATTTTTTTATTAGTCTATTTGTATCTTGCCTTACTTGGCTAAATATTTCACTTTTGAACTCATCTATGAGGTTCCGAAGATATCTCTTTATGTCCACTGGTGCCGTGTCTGATATTGCATGTTTGCTGTCCT